TCTTCAGTCACGATTTTAGCACTCAGAGACTGTGGGGAGGCCGCAAGCTTTCGCCTTTTAGCACGTGCTCCGCGGGGCATTAGAGACAAGAAAAGTTTTTCGTTACAGAAGAAGGATCAAAACTTTGCTAACGTACGAAAATGCGCGCTGAATAGCAAGTACTAATGCTATTTAACTACGAAAACCAGAAAGAGATAGTAGGGAAAGGAGTCACTACAAAGGTTTTTTACAAAATACGACTATTTTGCTAGACTGTCAAATAAAACTGGGAAAATTTTTACCTTATATCGGAAGGTGTCTTTTAAATGGGACTCAAGCAAATAACAGGCATTAATTGATTAATAATATCGAGATAAATGCAAAGCTTCACTTATCTTTGACATTGAGCTGCGCGCCTTGACTTTACGCTTGCTCATGCTTCTTTGCAAAAGACTAGATAATGGCATGTGGAGCGTTTTTCTTTTTTCGGCGGTAGTACAAGACTCGTGTGTTTTCCATTAATCAAGAATATATTCATCGTCGACTTCCGGTGTGGACGCGTTAATTTTTTCGGCTCAGGGGTTTCGTGTTTAGATGGGTCTATAAATATGTCCCAAACACCAATTTACCTCAAAAGAACGCACAAGAACTTGCAAATTCTGCAAATACTTTCAAGGAGTATGTAGCTTTGAAGGTTCTGATAAACATCCTGCGAAAAACCTGGCCTTTCGGCAGCTAATTAAGAACATCAGAAACCGTAAAGTATACTCCTATATTATAAGAAAACTCTGAAGCTCAACGGCATTCAAAAACTCGGGAAATTTCACTGCAGGCGAAATTCCCTTAACACATGGAAATGGTATGCTATTGAGTGAGAATCCGAAACGTCGGCCTAATAGAGCACTTTTTACAGCGATTTCGTCTCCTTCTCCGCGGTATACCAATGAACGTACCAGCTAATTCAACTCTATTTTCTTATTTGCTGACCGGATCGTCAACACGTGACCTCATAAAGCTTTTATTTCTTTGATACCCCTATCAAGAAAACCAAACAATATCCTCTTTGCTTTACTCGGCCTCATTTCAAACAAGGCGAAAGGGATAAATTGTAGCAAATTTTCGTGAAACTGCTTTGGAATATATACCTAGACTATCGGCGGTCGCCTAACCACCGCTCCAAGATGTAATAGACGATATTGGGTTTCCATCTCACTTAAGACGGTTTGTTAATAATTTGGAGTTTTATTGGATGCATTAGGGCGGTTTTAGGGTGATTGGATGTGCTTCGTAAATTCGAGCTCATTTAATGAGTGGCACCATCTACTATATGTCGGATGAGGTACTAACCAATAGATGACTAAACAGGTCACAGTCTGATAATAGAGTGGGGTTTTTGCTAGAAGAATTCCTCAGCCCGTGTGAGCAATGAAAAAGCTGCCCGGGATTAACAATTTTTTCTCTTGGTATGTCCATTTTAGTGGATTTATTAATTCCGTATCCGAGGTTTCAACTATTTTAGGCAGTGAGGCACGGCTTATAGGTCAACAATCATCAGTCATCCGTTTCTTGCTGAGAAGTAAGTGGTTTCGAGACTGTTTGTTATCACATAAGGCACTTCTTGCCGGCACCAAATAAGCTGGCCGGAGATGTAGATGTCTGCCACATTACCCTTACTTTGGAACGTGTCGCAACATAACATTTAGCAGCCTCGGACACTTACTGAGACTTATCCCGTTCATTAACTATATTTCCGCCAACGCAAATATATGGGGCTTTGTTCGGAGGTGAGTACTCGGACGCTATAGAGTTTGCCTGAGGCGCTGACCGTTTTCTATAACAGATTTATAAATAGCGGCCAGTAGTGTTTGTTGCAGCACCGACAACCACTCACTACTTTAAGACAGCTTGTCCACCCCCAGCGTAACAGTCGCGTGAGGTCTTTTTATTTCTTCCTCTGGCACGTACCGTTAATTAACATCGCTTCGTTTCTGTGAACGCAATTGCTATTTGGAATAAACTACCCAGGAATGTGAAAACTCTGCAAAATTCTCCTTTGTACAAGGGAACTATTACTCGCTTTTTGCATTCAGAAAAACTCCCACAAATTTTGGGTGCTGAATCCACTGATCGAGGATACCGTAGCGATGGAGTTCGTGGCCTCCGATCGCTATGGCCGGTCTCACCAGGCACAATTTCTATAGCCAACAGTGACAACTATTCATCGGCGCTTCTGTTTGGACGAACCACAACTTCATGAAATGAATTGGCGACTGATCATATCCGATGCAGTGCTACCCCTCCCCTTCTTGACTGTCGTCATTTCATTGACAGCATTTTTGTTTCCTGAACACTCGACACTACGAAAAACCATCCTCAACTTTATTTTTATTCCTTTTCAACGGGAATTTTTTTTCACTGCTGGCCGGATTTGTGTTTAACGCCTCCCTGACAATGCCTGTAAAGTGCCATTCTGTACTATTATTATTATTATTATAATAATCATCATTTGTGTGATGGTCAAACTATCATGACACTCTGATCTGAATTAATTTGCGACCCGTTATTGTGGGGTCTTTCTGGTTTTCGAGGATTATTGTTTTCAGTCTGGCTACCAAGTATTTCACCTTTATTCTCTCTTCGGGCCTTTGGCCGGGTTAAAAAACTTTCTTTACTCATGCACCGCAGAGATAACTAATGTTTATTTTCATGATGATCCTATCAAGAATTGCAAGATATTTGGGGGTCTTTGGCTTCCGAAAAAACTCCTCACTTGTATTTCTGGCTATCGTGCAGTAATCGCTACCGCGTATCTCCAGTTAGTCCTCCAGTTTTCGGTCTCCACTTCAGCTTGTGGCGCGAACAATTGTCAAGACTTAAGAACATTAATATGCACAGGGAAGACTTGGTTCTAGTTAAGCAGTGTTGTGCTTAATTTATGAATCCTGACAAAGATAGGACATGGAAAAACGACAAAGGTTAATTGTCGTAAAGCTCACCAAAAGTAAAATCGTCTCAAGTACTAGGCTATTATGGAGGATGAGGGTCCTATTGGGTAATTCTCTAAAGTTTCGAGTCGCTCCCTGTTGGTGATGCGTGTCGCCCAGATGAATCCGCGTTCGGAAAGGTGTGACTGAGAGGTAATTTCAAATTGGTTATCGCGCCTGACTAACACAGATTCAGGCGCATATAAGTAACTGATGATCATAACTCACGTTGAACCACCGACATCAAGCAGCAGTGAATTTAGAACACCCATTGTCAAAGGTCGAACCCGGTCTTTGTGGGCATTTAGCCTTTTTCTGATAGGGCCACATGAAGGTTGGGGTCTACAAGATGATTACGAGGAGAAAAATTAAAATGTACATACACCTTCAATCTACTTCAGATGTCAGAATTATTTAGGCAACCCAATAGCGGACAACCTTGATTAGCTTGCATCCATGGAGTCTTACGAGAGTTACTTAGATAAGATTCCGGTCCTATGGAAATTTAGTAGTGAAGCACTATGATATGTGATTGTTTGTTCGTGGAAATGAATAAATGATGCCTTGAACTATGCCTTGACTTCTACAATGTTGACAGGAAGTTGTTTTTATCGCGAAATACCTGTGCCGGTTTACGCGGTTTCTTAACCTATACATATTTTCTATCTACTTCCTGATGGCTGCTGTGCGGAAGAAGTTAGTCGTTGTTGGTGATGGAACCTGTGGGAAAACTTGCTTGTTGATAGTTTTTAGCAAGGACTATTTCCCAGAAGTATATGTTCCAACTGTTTTCGAGAACTATGTAGCCGACATAGACACTGGTGGCACTCAGGCATGCTTAATACCCGTCCTTATATCTTCTTAGGTCGAACTAGCCTTGTGGGATACAGCCGGCCAGGAGGATTACGATCGACTTCGACCCCTTTCTTATCCTGAAACAGATGTCATCTTAATGTGTTTCTCCATTGACAATCCAGGCAGTTTGGAGAACATAAAGGACAAATGGGCCCTGGAGGTACGGTTGCTTCCCTCGAAAGTATTTCTTTAAGGTCGGACATTTTTGTCCCAACGTGCCAGTAATCCTGGTGGGGAACAAAAAGGACCTTAGAAATGACGAAAAAACCATACGAGAACTGGCTAAAGAGAAGTTGGAACCTGTGAAACCCGAGGAAGGGAGGAGTGTGGCTGAGCGGGTCGGCGCTTGCGCATATGTCGAGTGTTCTGGTATGTGAATTGGGTTGTGTCATACTCTTTTAGCGAAAACAAAGGAAGGCGTCAAGGAAGTTTTTGAACAGGCAGCAAAAGTCGCCCTCGAGTCCAGTCGAAAAAGGAGGAGGAAGCGTTGCAACCTTATCTAAACAATTTCTCCACGACTGACTCCAGTACTGAAGGCTTTCTTATTGGTTTCTTTTAACATTCCAGTACGTTTTGTCAATGCTTTGCAAACCTGGTCACAGTTTCCTCATTTCAACGCTCTACTGTTGTGCAAATGTACACGGTTTGGTCATGGTTCGTCCAACTTCCACTCAAGGAAACTGATGTCCGTTTCCTCCCTCGATTATTTTCAGTACGAGCAGCTATTCTGCCTATTGGTACCTTTACTTCTGTGATTACACGGTCTTACGCTGGAGCCCGCAGTTGCCTTTTCGCGCCCCAGTCGCCATTAGGCTGTTTATTTGTCTTTTTCTTTTTGACGATTTACTGCTTCACTGATTGGAATTAATTTTCTATCAGCCGGAAACCGGTTTTAAAATACATTTTCAGCACTTTGCTAGTTTCTCTTAAGACGCAGTATAGCAATCCTATCCGTCTCCCGTACGGACTTTTGCGAGTCTGCCATTCGAGCACCATTTTACGGCTTTCATGATCTCTTCAATAACATTATTTCGGTCAGTAATTGCGCTGTCTGCATTCGACTGGCGTACTTTTGCTGTCACAGCTTCTTACTTTGTCTTCTGTTTTGTTTGCCTCATCCACTGGGGCATACGTCGTCCGGTTTCGCCTACCCGACTTACTGGCCTACTTGTGTTTACTGCTGTTGTGGCCATGCTCTATCTCGCCAGTTTCACTGGTGCGGATGGTCCGAGCCAATAGATAAATCCATCATCGCACGCCCCTGATGGCGAAGGTCAAATGTCGAAGGTAAGGGCGCCGCCTCAATATGCAGATGGGTCCTACCATTTTTGTTTGGACAACGCCTTTTATGCTCTGGGTAACGTGTCCAAATCACAACAGTAGCCTTTCTTGAATGCCCCGTAATATTCCTGCGGGTTTCTGAGACGAAGTTCGTTTCTTTCACCTCCGGTATCATCGGCGGACTGCAATGGTATTCTACCCCTTCCCCAGCCCATCAGTCGCGACCGTGAAGGACTGGCCGGACGAATTTCCGATACACCTATCGTTTTGTCGATTGGGCTGTCGCGACGGGTCCGTGGAACCTTCGAAGGCTTTCAAATATCTTGTAATCGGCATTGATCTCCCCGACGAGATCGATATGCTCTGTTTCGTTACAACTTAGCACCGATATGTTAGAGACTGTCCACTTTTTCGTGACAGCCATTAACCCGGAAGATCGCCTTCCCCTGACCAAAGGCGCGCCAGAATTTATGTTGTCACTTGGTGCTGTTGACTGGACCGATTAATTCAACAACGTCTTTCTTAGGCAGTACATTATGTGACTCATACTAGCTTGCTGCCAAAAGGATGATGTCGTCAGCGTAGCTGAGGCCGGTCGGTCTGCTTCCCCGTGCTGAGTCAGCGCCCTACCTCCCACTGTTGTCACTTCTCAACCCTTACTGTTGAAGTGGCGCTGAAAGCTGATTTTGGGTACGAAAGCGCTTTTTTGCTCGACGTATTCATTTTCCCTTACAAGAGACGTGCTATTGAGTCGTTCTTCGCGGGTGCATTTGGCCGACCGCATGGAGAGTGTTCACTAATCACCTTGACGTAATTGGATCAAAACTCGAATGTTGCAGACGCAGGGCTCGTGCCGGTCAAACAGTTTATTCTGATAAGACCTCAGACAGGGGCCGCATCCGGCTTGCCCCTTGCTCGTTGAGTGATATGGAAGAGTGGGGCCCTTGCAGTGCTCTGAATTACTGTCCACTTCGAAGACGCCCCGTACTTTATTATAACCGATTTCGGGAGACAGCGAGATAATTGAGGCGGTAGCATGACCGACAGATAACAGTCGGGCAATAACATCTATAAAACCTTTCCAGCGGCACGGCCTACCCAAAATATACACAGCTAAGACTGTTCCTGCAAAGTGGGTCGATGCTGTCGTCTGGTCGATATTCAGTGGAAACGACAGACCACCATGTGTCAACTACATTAGCAGGAGCCTTCTCCTGCAAAACCCTTTGTGTCGTCTTTAGTTTTTTTCTTCGTCTGTAACGCGACACGCAGACGGGATAATCGGTGTGGTTTTCGGCCAGAATGATGATGCCTTGATCAGTCTTTCTTCCACTGCAAAACTCTAAGTACCATCACTGTTATCAGCTGTCCATTTCCGCCTTCGACCTTAGCCGACGTCATGGCGGCTGTATGACGTCGTGCCGCCAGAAATGCTTTCTTCGATTTAGGTCTAAGGTCAGAATAAGGGCCAAAGTCCGTGTGAGTGGCGAGGAGAGGGACTACATGTGAGTGGTGTCTACAAAGGTCACATTCAACAACGGTAGACCGGCTTTACCACCATGCGCTGTTCGGCTCTGCTTGCGTATGTTGAAGCCTGAGGAAATTGGGAGAGTATCGCAGCGATTCCCACGGGCAAATCGATCATCAAAGGTGAGTGTAGTGGACAAAAGACGAGTCGAACCATTTAGTGACAGGTTTATCTGCGATTTCCTTCGGTAGAGCCGACACTCCTTTGCATGATCAGTCTCATCCGCCAAAGCGGATGATTGGAAGTACTGGGTTCGAAACGAGTCCAACCTACTTCTAAACTTTAAATACACGAGATGCCTGACTGCTTTACGGGGTCGCACGCTGAATGTGCGAGTCTCGAGGGAACCATTTTTGCAAGCGCAGAACTGGTGCTGTGGGATGGATCTAATGCTCGGTTAGGGTGTCCAAGTCTGGCGCCCATGTGACATCACCAGAGGCAACGATCTGTGCTCCGCGAATCTTGGCTACGCTGGTAATGCTATAACGCTGATGGACTGCTTTACGGAAGCACAGCCTGTAGATTCCAAGATAGGTGCAAATACAGCCGAAATGGACCTGAAAAGACGAAGGTGACGGCCTCGGGTTTCGTCCTCAGAAGTTTTTACTAGGTCACGGTGGGCGGCGAATCTGCAGTGCTGGTGGTGGGGGGGACAGCTTTTGCCACCTTGGTTTGAGCCTTCCACCAAACGGGCAGGACAAGGATGAAATTGACCATCCAGGCACGCGACCTTAGTTGGGAACGGAGTTAGATCAGTCTGAAAGTGCCTCCGCAAAGACGATCATTCTGGCCTCTTCGCAGAAGAGATCAACTGCCTGAGCTGGTGGTGGTGTTAGCACTTCGCCCTTTGTTGTCGTCTCTCCGACCGCATTTCTAACGAACGACTTTAAGGTCAGCCAGGAATAGAACAAGCCAGCCACACCCTTTTTACTCACAAATAGAGCCGGCCTGGCTGTGTGCTCTACTTACCTAGATGCAAAATCCTCCATGAGGCCATCTTGCCTGACCACTGCTTTGACTGGCGCCTAGTTGAGGTAGCCAACCAAAGACGCTGGTCTGCGTGTTGGAAGTTGGCTTCGAGCACACCTCTGGCCCAGGGGTGTTCTGCCTGTGAGACTGACGCAGTAATCGGCTCAATTTCATTCATGGTTAAGCCGACGGCAATGACGGACAATCATCCGCAATAAGGCGGACTTGCACGATGGAACCAAGTGCATTAGGTTTGATGTTATAAGAAAATGATCAAGTAATTGCCAGAGTCGCAAGAGTCCCCCCGAGACTGGTCTCAAAGACAGTGTCACGGTTGATTTCGCTGATCGAGATTGGTCCAAAGAGACATTTTAAAGTTGTGGGTAGGCCGAACCTGCGAAAGGGAGTGCTTCGCAGCATTCTGAAAGGTACACAACAGTAGACATGGTTGACTGGCCATCATCTCAGAACTACAGTCTCGACCCCGCAAAATCCGGTAAAATGGTCATGTGCTCAAGGACTCGTTCAGGAGCTAATTCTCCTGGGAGGGAGTATGCAGCATATGCCACATATATGAATGACTGGACGTTTGGATAGCGGAGTGGGATGTTGAAGGAAGGAAACATACCGTGCCAGAGGCGGGAGGAGCTAGATGTACCGGAGGGAATGGGCGTCTAGCTGTGGATGTGCGCCAGACGATGGGCATTTCCATGGGGGAGGGGCGCCGACCTGTTCTCCCCCATGAGGTCTGGCTTCGAAATAAGCCGGAATGCAGCTGATGAGTAAACGGCCACGGACTAGCAACCTAAGGGACGTCATCATACAGAGGGTCTAGATATGACAGAACGGTTCCTTACTAAATTCCGCCGAGTTTGGTGGGAGTTCTCACAAATGACAAGTTAAGACTGCCATTGCCTTACTGTCTGGGCGCACCCAAGGACACGTTAGGAAGTGAAAAATCCAAGTCCTCTATCTCCATGCAATACACTTTTCTTCATCATTAATCATAACTCACGCTACGGCATCCGTAGCGACTGATGCGTCCTCATCTCTGAAAAGGGACTAAGTGATAAATAGGCCAGGGGGACATTTCAGAGAATGCCACTGCTCGTCGCAATTATTAAAATGACAATGTCAAGTCCGGATATGCACGTGCTGGCGCAGTACAGTTTGGACGCCACCTGACTTCCAGAGGAGCGGTTCCCAGACCACGTCTTGTGTGACATGAAGATGACCAGCCTTAACATATGTTTTAAAATATCGCAGTGTTGCTACTGGCGGCTGGTTTACACGTTGGTCCGGCTTCCGGCCACCCGACGCATCCGCAAGCGGCGAATATTGGGAGGTCTTCAGAGAGGGTTAGGTGCAAAAAAGCGGCATCCCAGGTCTGACGGATAAGCAGTCGCGAACCAGCAGCGACGGTACTACCAGGGCTCCGAGACCTGAGGTCCGGCACGTCAACTGTTTTATAACATACCCCAAAGTCCGATAACACTACTTTGGAGTGATGGCCCTAAACTGTCATTAGATGGGTTTCCTCGCCACCGTTGATTTTCAGCTGGATTTTTGAGCCAAAGGCCCAGGGTTGGCATCCTCGAAAAACTGATCGCGGTGGTGGGGACCAGCCAAGAATCGAAATTACACAGAAGCACCGTGGCATATTATGCGAAAGTTCCTCACTACTGACGCCCAAAGTCTAGCGACGCGAAATCATCATCGGTACGACATAGATGTCTGCTGTTTGTCTGCAGCACAAATCTCCGACACGGCTCGCGCAAACTTAAGATTCCGGGGGGTCAAATCCTATCTAGCCGTATTTCAGTGGTCCACGCTTCTCTAATAGGCGCCATGTGCTGACTGCCCTCATGGGACCCTACTCTGAGCTCCAAGGCACAATGGCACGATCAGATCCCGTAACCCGATCGGTCAACACACTTCTAGCATAGCTGATATTTATGACAGCAGCCGACAGGACAAAGACCCTTGGCTGTACTGTAGGGGGCTGGACTTACTAACGCTTGAGGATCAAATAACGTGGATTGAAGGCTCATGTTCCTCAAATCTGGATTTGGATAAGCCTGGGCATCCCGTCTCCCTTTCTTTTGTTAGCATCCTCCCACATATACTAATAGTCGCTCTGCGACTGACTGCGAGGATTCTACACTGAGTCTTAAGGCATAATAGGACGAGTAGGCCCCGTAATCCGATCAGCGAACGTACTTTCGACGTTGAATTGGCAGTTGTTATTGAGGCAGAGCCTAAGCACTTCTAAAGTGATTTGCATTGGAATGCTGGTCGTATTGTCTTGCAGGTGTTAGGCTACGCTCTCTGCCGACAGATGCGGCGCAAGGTCGATTATGTAAACAAGGAAAACCAAACCCTCAATGACGGGAAGGCCTGGACATCACTCGCTGAGGACCCAACTAAAGAGCAGGCCCTATCTTTGTCGGTACTTCTTCTGCATTAGTAATAGTCGTTATTCGACTGCCTTCGAGGGACCTAGGCTGACTTCCAATGTTCCAGGGACAGCACGTTCCGTAACCTGATTGTGAGCGACCCTCCCACGATGCACATACACGTATTAGGATGGAAGAAGAAGGTAAGGCGATCCCTAGGGCAGAAGGATTTTTCATCTGACGTTTCGTACTCGTACTCGAGCTCATCATCGGAGATGTGCAAAATGAGAAATACACGGTTTAAATAGGTCCTTCACGAAACAAAAAGACCCAACTCCTCAACAAAGTGCATAGCCCAAAACACGCACAATCAACCCTGCCTGGACCGTCATCCGTCCACAACCCGTCATCCAAACAGATGATAGATGAACACATTGAAGTGCTTCAACATGAATTCAGTTACAACACAGAAGATGCACAGCCAGTGGACTTCATCGCTGCACTAGAAGCGACGCTCTCAAAAACGGAGACCACGGAAGACACAAAGAACGCGATTTGCCAGCGAGTCGGGTCCCTCATCATATCCCACGGACCACGCCGAACCATTCCCTCGGCAGAGGTAAAGGCCATCAGGGAACTAAAGAGGGACGAAGAAATTGTCATTGTTCCAGCGGACAAAGGGCGAGCAACCATAGGACTAGACAAGTCGGAGTACGTTGCAAAAGCGCAGCAGCGACTAAACGACAGCCAGTCGTATAAAGTCATCGACGCCTATCCCATGAAAGCACTGGTAGGCAAAATCAACAAGAGCCTGAACCAGATGAGGAAAGAAAAGGCAATATCCGAAAAGGATTGGAAACAGATGAAACCGCAAGATGCTGCCTTAGCGCGTCTCTATGGTTTGCCGAAAATCCACAATCTAAATGTCCCCCTACGGCTCATTGTGGCCCTGAAGGATACGCAGCCATAAGGAGTGGCTAAATGGCTTGATAAGCATTTAAAGAAGCTGACTGACGGCTGGGAACACAGCAGTATCTTCAATACGCTTCCTGGAAAGACCGAAAGGCGTCATAATAACGCGACGCGATAATGGTCTCTTTTGACGTCGTCTCTTTATTCATCCCTATCCCTAAAGAATTAGCTATGAGAGTTGTCGATACTGGAGAGAAGGTACTACGAAGAAGGAAAACCTCTCAAGAGGAGACATGCGAGGGAACTACTGGACTACTGTTTACGCACGTACTTCACGTTTAACGGTCAAATTTACGAACAAATCCAGGGAACCCCAAAGGGGTCCCCAATCTCCAGTTACGTGGCTGAAACGGTCCTGCAGAAACTGGAAACTTGGGTCTTCCAGTCCTACAGGCCGAAAGTATGGATACTCTACGTGGACGACACCTTCGTCATCCTACGCCGAGACGCAAAAAACAACTTAAAAAGGGAACTGAACTCGGTTTTCCCACAAATCCAATTTGCGGAATGATCGAAAAACGACTAAGAACGCGCATTCATGAACACGCTTTGGCAGTAAAGCGAACGGATGTACGATCGTACTTCAACAGGCACAGGCTAGAAAATAGTCACAGGTTCGACTTTGACGGCTCCCAAGTGCTCGACCGAGCCGAAAGCAAACTGGCGAGAGAAGTAGTCCAGGCCTGGCTATCAGACGCCAACTAGACCAACCGCAGTATCGACTTACCAGCGTCATACGAGGCTGTCAGGCACCACTTGTGCGCGAGAGGAAAGCCAATAAGAGGAGAGCGGGATGGATTTAGCAGGTGCGAGCGCGAAGGACCTATGTAAACCATATATTTCTCATTTTGTCTATCTACGATGAATTGCTGGCGTGCGAGTACGAAACGTCAGATGGTTACACCCTTTTCCCCCAGAGATCAGTTTACCTTCTTCTTCCTTACATGCATATATAGGCCGTATATACTGGTCTAAATTATTCGAAGCTACTATCTGTCTAATAATCTCACTCTGGAAGGCCTAACACAGCGCCATTATATCTAGTCTTGACCACACATTTTACCGGACAGTCGTCATATTCACCATACCAGGCAACGGCAAAACAGACGTCTGCATAAATGCAGAAGATTGGGACATATCGAATGAATCGTCTGGATTGCAAACCTCTGCTGCAGTATGTTTATTATCACACAAGCCTCACGGTTCAATCGCTTTTGTTAGGCAACAAGGAGTACTATCTACTATCAATATGAGTTATTCAAAATCTGCCAAAACGTCTCTGAATTACGTGAACTTAGTAGTCATCTGGTGGATTCTATGTTGATTACTTCGGAAATCCTGCCGGGAAGTCGGCATACTATATCAGATTTGGTGGATTCCAGACGTTGCAGTAGGTTAGCCGAGTAACTTGACCAAAATGTGATTAAACTCACGTCTCCTGGTGGGGACCGGTAGCTCAAGTGGTTGGAACGTTGGCTGTACTAAAGCCTTCCCCTCACTGTTGTGGGTTCGAATTCCACCGAGGAGCCGGGTTTTTCACAATTGGGCCAATATTAATTATTAAAAATCTGCCAAAACATCTCTAGACTCTCTACTCCCGCCCCCCCCCCCCATTTTTGCCGTCATTCAATCCCTCGAAAATTGCTATTTGCATGAAGGGATGCACAGTTTGTTGTCCTGCCGAAAAAACGCAACCAGGCTCCACATTTCTGGCACAGTGCGCACCCAGGTTTAAGCCCGTCGTCCTGCCTACCAGTGCGTTCAGCTGGCGCGAGGCACAACACAGCCTGTGTGGCGGCTCACTGCGTGAGTAACCAGCGTGTGCGAGCGCGTGCACACAGAGGAGGGCGCAAGCATTTCGGTGCGTAAACGTACCGCCACCTAGCGAGAGAAGAGGGTTGTCCTAGCGAACATTTATAAAGGACTGCACAGATCTTGTTGGGGGGGTTTTTTACTGGCAGAAGAAAGGACGGGCAGGCTCTCACGTAGAATGAACTCTGACGCCTGATGGTGGCATGTGGCTAGGAGTACGCCGGTGGGGCAAACGCTGAGAGACACACGGAAAGCAACGCGTAAAGTCCAACCGCAGTCGTCTCAATGTCTCCTCACTTTTTTATCGGTTCTTGTTAGATCTGGCCATTTCAGGCACAATTTAACGTTGGTAGGGGGCGCTCACCGATCGTTCATACGGAACTCACTCGTTCCGTTGTGCCTTAAGAGCTCTCTCTCGAGCCCAACCAGCAGCCGCACAGCGGCGCATGATACATAGGCAGAATAACATTACCGACAAAGACAAGGGAGACTGCCTATTTATCATGCGCCGCTGTGCGGCTGCTGGTTGGGCTCGAGAGAGAGCTCTTAAGGCACAACGGAACGAGTGAGTTCCGTATGAACGATCGGTGAGCGCCCCCTACCACTGTATATTCCCGATCGAAAACCGACAAGGCAACGGGCTCGTGGCCCGGTGAGTAGAGGCGTTGACTTCTAAACCAACAGGTCGCGAGTTCGAGGCTCGGGTGTTCCACACTTCGGGCTTGGGTATGGCTGGCTGACGACGGCTAATAAGCCAGAAATGGCCATTCCAGTCTCCCTTGTCTTTGTCGGTAATGTTATTCTGACAATTTATCGTCCCCAGATACACGCCCTGCTGGAGGTTCATCAGGAGTCAGGCAGTTAAATTCCCTGCATTCAGGGGTTTGCTAATTTATGCATACAGTTCGTGACCGATCTCATGAAATGTTGACCGAAATTCTGAAATTTGTTTTCGATTAGGAAGGATTACTTCGGTGGGGTTGTAATATTGACTATCAAGCAGCATAATCCTATAGCATTTCGCATTCATCAGGATGTCGGCTTTTGGATGCACTCCTTTCTGACCTTCTGCAGAATCCGCGACCTGCAAAAAATGACTACTTAATTAGAGTACATTTTTCGTATTGATTTTTGATGGTTTTGCAAATTCAAATACATTTTATAGAAAAAGTGTACAAAAATATGCCTTCTTTAAGTCGTTTGGTAAGAAATTACACTCTCTTCATATTTTATACCTGAAGATAGTGTATATTTCGGTTAAAAAAAAGTTTCTAATTATGAGATTTTCAAGAGCGTGCGATGTTCACGTACACAACATCGTACATGTCCGTTTACCAAGGCTTCTCATGAAACGTACAACACAGTCCGGATCCACTGCAAAATTTTACAAACTCTATATGATATTTTCTTAAGGGCATAGAGGAATATGTGATTTTCCTTACGCAGAAAGCATGCGCCCTGTAAACTGAAATCGCTAAACGCTAATGCAATGGCAAATCTGGCTCAAAATTATTCGGGAATTGGAAGACTTTTTTAAAACCAAAAGATACGCTTTCTTCAGGTATAAAATATAAAGAGTATGGTTCCCTACCAAACGAAAAAAGAAGGCGTATTTTTGTGAACGTTTTCTATAAAATATATTTGAATTTGTAAGATCATCAAAAATCAATACGAAAAATGTACTTTAATTAAGTAGTCATTTTTGCAGATCGCGCTTTCTGCAGAAGATCAGAAAGGAGTGCATCCAAAAGCCGACATCCTGACGAGTGCGAAATGCTATAGGATTATGCTGCATGCCCCACCTAAGTAATCCTTCCTAATTGAAAACACATTTCAGAATTTCGGCCAACATTTCATGAGATAGATCACTCAATGTACATACAGTAGGTGTTTTAACTCATGAAATGTTAACCGAAATTCTGAAATGCGTTTTCGACTCGGGAAGGTTGCTTAAGCAAAGCCGTAAAATTAATCATCTTTCAGCGCAATCCTATAGTAATTCACTTACTACTGGATGCCACTTTTTGAGCGAATTTCTTTTCCGTTGCATGTAAAAACCACATTTTGTAAAAAAAGACTACTTATGTAGCATGAATCCTTGACATTGGCTTTTGATACCCTTATTAATGCAAATATATTTCATGGAAAATATGCATAAAAATATTCGTTCTTTTATTCATTTGACAGAAGATTACGTCTTCTTCAAGTTTTATGCTTGGAGGAAGTGTATAATTTGGTTTTTTGGGGCTTTTTCAATTCCCAAATAATTTTGGACCCGACCTGCCGTAACACTTGCATTCAGGGTTTCCGAACTATAAGCCGTATATTTGCCGTATACGGAAACCATACATTTCTTTACGGTATCAAGAGGAGACCGTATGGGGTTCATAAAATTTAGCAGTTGATTTGAACATATTGCAAACTTTTCCACCCACGTTAGTAAATGTAGAAACACCATGTTTTATGACCGAGCTTTCCAGGGTAGTAAAAAATCTCAAAATTATAAACTTTTTAAAAACCGAATCAGTCCCTTCCTTCGAGTATAAAATTGGAAAAAGACGTAATTTATATCAAATGAACAAATATTTTTATGTGTGTTTTCGATGAAATATATTCGCATTTTTAAGGGCATTGAAAATCAATGAGAAGGATTCATGCTACATAATTGCTCATTTTTACAGAGTGTGGCTTTTGCATGCGGGCGGAAAGAAGTTCTTTCGACTGCCGGCATCCAGAGGTAACTGAATTATCCTGAGACTGTGCTGCTCGATGATTAATTTTACAGTCCTGCTGAAGTAATCTTTTCGAGTCGAAAACGTATTTCAAAATTTCGGTTAACGTTTCATGAGTTGGCACACCTACTGTATGTATTGTAGACGACACTGGAACTGGACTGACGTAATATACTTAGCGGGAGGTTTGTGATCCCCACTGAAGGACGAGGATTTCAGGGGCCTCCTGGGGGACTGATGGAGGGGTGAGAGACTGAAAGCGCGAAGCATATGCTTGCCACCTTTTGCCCTTCTCGACATCCACATTTGCGTCGCTGCCTAGTGTCAGTTGTTATTGCCATATCTGGTCGATGAGTGTTGTAGACACGACTGCAGCAATCACTGTTGAGCCTAGCGGAACAGCCATGAGCTGGATTGTTTACTAGACAGGCGCGCACAAAACAGCCAGGTTTTTTTTCATCGACTGTGCTCCGATCCTTACCGACAACCCATGACAGGGTGTCGTTTAAGGTGCGCACGCGTTAAACCGAGCTGCAGTATCACTGATCAACCATGTTTTTTTTCCAGTTTTAAAATTAATTAGGGGAGTTACTGAGATCCGCCTTTCGCCACTGATGAGCACGGCCTCATCAGGGACGAAAGTAACTCCAATAACCAGTCCTGCTTAGTTGTTGTTGTTTTGTGAAGTTATAAACTAGAGCGATTACCCTCGCATAAAGCAGCCGGTCGTTTCATTGACTCAAGTCCTAGTGTGGCTTTGGTCACGAGGTTGGTCAGTGGTGGAGACATATGCCAGTGCTGTTTACGGTGCGCATTCGCCGGACCGAGCTGTGGTGTTACTACCCGACCATACTTTCCAGGGAAGTTACTGTAATTCACCTGTCACCACTGAGTAGCGCATTCTGATCGGGGTCGAAAACAACCCTAATGACCAGTTCTGCTTGGTCGCTGTCATGCGACAATTATCGGATCGGCCGACTGTCCTGGGGTTTAATTTGGGACAAAAATTCCCAGATGGTCTAGTCAGAATTGTGTCTGTCGAAGGTCAGGGCGTTTGGTGTGTACAGGGGAGTCAAGTGAAAATTACTCACCCATGAATGCTACAGTAGATGTGCTATCTCATTAAGTGTTAGCCGAAATTCCGAAATACTTTTTCACTTCCAAAAATTATTTAAGTAGGGTTCTAATATTTACTATCTTGTGATATAATACTAAGGTATTCCAGTCACGTCAGGATGTCAGTTTTCGAACGAGCGTAAATTAAATCCCGTAAAAAAGGACAGCTTAATTAGTGTGAAATTCCTCACTAATTTTCTAAGTCCTTACAAATTCAAATAGGATTTATAGAAAACATGTAGAAACCCATTCATTCTTCTGCTCATTTGGTAGCAAATGACATTTTCTACAAGTTGCGTACTTGAAGAAAGAGCATTTCTTGGTTTTAAGAAAGTTTCTGATTATGGGATTTTTCAAGACCGTAAAATGTCTAACCGTACAGCATAGTATTAACACATTTATTAATGCTGCTTATGAAGTGCGCAGTGTGGTTCCCATCCATTACACAGCTTTATGAACTCCAAGCGTCCTCTTCATAGCAGCACATAGAAAAGTGTGGCTTCCTTTGCACGAAACGTATACAGCTTGTAGTTCGGAAGCCCTGAATGCAAGTGTAAGGGCAAGCCGGGTTCACATTTATTCGGGAACTGAAAAAGTTTTTTTTAATCGGGAGAAACTCCCTGTAAATATAGGATTAAAGAACACTTTTTTGTTACCATATAAGTTAGAAAGAAAATATTTTTATGTGTGTTTCATATACAATATGTTTGAATTCGTAAGGGCATCAAGAATCGATGGGAAAAATGCATGCCATACAACCAGTCATTCTTTGCGGAATACAGTTATTGCCGACGTCTGGGAGGAAGCTCGCTCAAAAGCCGGCATTCCGACCTGACCGATATATCTTAACATTATGCGCCAAGCTAAGTAATATCACAACCCTATGTAAGTAATTTTTCGGGACTGAAAGCACATTTCAGAATTTCAACGAACGTTTAATGAGATAACATATATATACATATATGAAGAAGTTACCCTCCTGATCGCAGACGACGAGGCCAACAATAGCGGACTGCTAAATTAGCGATACGGAGTGTTCTATCCAGAACGCTAAGGTTCGTTATGTTTCAAGTGCATTCATTCTCCATGAATATTCCCCTGCGAGTGTAGGCCGCGCTCATTCTATAGCAAAAATTCCCACTCCGAAGAAGAGAAAATGCGTAGATTCTGGTTTTTAATTCAGGCTCATGGGACGAACGGGGAGGGCAAGGGGTTATCGTGATAGGTCGCCCGTCGTTACGACGGTGTCCACCGTGTGCGTGCGTAGGGACGGGGACTTGCGCCTGAATTCGTTTTCACTGACAGTAGACTTGCGCTACTTCTACTGCGCATTCTCTCCCCCAAAATTACTGAGCCCCGTGTCAAGGTGACCGGAGATGGAGTCGAGGACTGTGGCTAGCAGAGACAAATGACCCCTCTACGCGGGCCACACACGCCCGGTCCGTCCACGGTGGACCAGATTTGAATATGAGCGGGTAGGGGGCGGCCCGAACTCCAAATTACTGGGAAAGCCCTAAAGGCCACACCATTTGCATCAAACACTGTCCTAATTGGGCACTTATAGTCCATCGCACCGAGACTGATCTACTAATATCACGAACACCAATATACGCTGCAGCTAGATATGGAAGTCTCGCTTTTTTTAAAAAATTGATGATCATCCATGGAAAACTCGCCCTAGTTGAGTTTCAAGGGGAGTTTTTAGGAAAACCAAATCTCCCACATTTACCATGTTCAGAGAGCATCGTTTTGGTTGATTAACACGGCTGTTCGCCAGAGACAAAAAGAGAAGATTTTACGCTATTAGTCGAAAATGTAAGTTATAGCCTCCTTCTAAACGAAGCCGACACCTTCAGAAGCTATCAAACTCCCACAGCTCAAAGTCTGAACGATTCTATTAGTCTGACTAACATATGGCAATAAAAGATTCAAATTCTGAAAAAAAACACCAGATCCGACGCTTGAGGGGGAATTGGAAATCAGTAATCACAAGCAGGAAATGTTTTATTGCCGTCGAAAACAACCCAAGTTCAAGTAGCAATTGGCGCAGGGATCGTAGGCTAAACCATACAAAAACAGTAAATCCATATTCGTGTCAGGCGCTGATAAGCTCGTTTATCAGTTTTAATCATGCGCTACTGGTGATTCGCAGAAAATAAGAAATGATTGACGTGAACTACCTAGCCAGCGAATGACGCATTCAAATATTCAGGCACCTGCGTGCGATAAACCGTAAAAAGGTGACTATTAAAACTCTCTCTCCCTCTCTCGACGCCCCCCTGCACTTAACGCCCACGACAACGCTAGTACGCAAAAGTCACGGGTTGATGAAGATCTGCAAGCCTGTGACTACGGTGCTGTGACGTACCACGTTTCATTTTCCTGGCAGGAAGTACATTGGAAGGCCCACTGTGTGTAATGCTGGCTATCCAGTTCTCAGTCTACACATTCAACCCATTGAGGTGCTTTTGTGTTGAGAGTCTGACTTGTGGTCTGAAAGTCAGACCGCAAAGGCTGCTTCTTAACGTGACCTCTGATATTCTCACGCATGTAGGATTCATGCTACCCACCCCATTTTGTGTGAAATTCTGGTGCTTGTTCCGGAGGGCCAGGTCGCGTAGGACACACGCATACTGATTGCCACAACTTCGCCAGTCACTGCAAGCAGCCGGCAGGTTCACGAGAGAGGCAAGGCAGAGTGAGGTCGACACTGCGGAATCCATCTCCACGACTAGTCAGCGCATGCCTCATTATGACAGCTCGAACCTCGTTACTGACGATGTCCAGCGTGTGCTCAACTGCAGGCTGAGAGCAGAGGCGGCCGCCTGCGTATAAATGATGGCAGTTCGACCGTCGCATCCGACGATGTCCACCGTATGCTCCACAGCAGGAGGTGGGAGCAGGGACGGTGACTTGCGCGTTATTTATACTGAGGGTAGACTTGCGCTGTATCTACCCCGCACTCTCCTCATGTATGCCTCATTATGACAGTTCGAATCTCGTTACTGACAATGTCCAGCGTGTACCCGCAGTATGACAGAGGCAGAGGCGACGAACTGCGTATAAATGATGACAGTTTGACGGTCGCATCCGACGAAGTCAACCGTAGGCTGAGAGCAGGGACGGTGACTTGCGTGTGATTTATAGTGAGGTTGGACTTGCGCTGAATCTGCCGCACACTCTCATCCTCCTCGCCGACCTGGACTCTGTGTCAATACAGAGTCACGACGACCGGAGACGGGGGAGGGCACAGGTTGATGGCACGGTCAAGCCAGCGCCTTGGCGTTCCACTACAAACCCCATGGTTCACACAACAAATAACCAGGTTTTTGACCAGCTGGCATGACCGAAGCCGCACCTAGGCGTGCCACCCACACCCAGTTCGGGTCCCCCACAATGGGAGTGCCATAAAGACCACATTGAGAAGGAGCCATTGCCGCCTGACTCTCAAACCACCAGCCGACCACTCCTCATACACACAACAATGGGCAGACTGCGAGGTCTAAGTTATCCCCTCAGTTGGCAACCTTCCAAGCCACGGCTTTTAGCGCACCGTGATAACTTAAAGCGCGTCAGATTGCTTATGATGAGGAAAATTCGCTGAGTCGTCGAACTCATTCTCCGTTACCATTCGCAGTCCTCAGCCCCTGTCCGGGTCGGTCAGTTGACCGGAGCGGGGAAATCGGCGCGGTGGCTGGGATAGTCTATTAAACATGTCTGCGCGCGCCACATACACGACCTGGCCCCCCCAAACACAAGCACCAGGATTTCAAACAACGGGGGGTTGGGTGGCGCAACTGTCACCTGTGTGAGAGTGCCGTGGAAGGAGCTGTTTCGGCCCGGCTCTCAGCCCACCAGTCCGCCACTCCACATAAACGCACGCACAGCTGGACGGACTGCGTGGACTGAGTTGGGGCGTCAGTCAGTAGCCTTCCAATCCGCGGTGCTTGACGCGCCGGGATAATCTCAGGCTCGAGTCACCCATGCGACAGGAGCCGCACACTTCCCACTTTCGTGGGAGGTGGCAGTTGGGTTCTTGCGGTGGGTGATGTTGATGTGTGGAAAGATGGTGGTGAGGAAGAATGTCGTGGTGTGCTTCAGCCGGCGGTTGCCTACCGCAGGTTTTCACGGACGCGGATGTGGCAAAATAGGCCCATGCGGTGCATGTCTGTGCGAGGACAGTGTGGGCAGTGGAGACGGGTGTGGCGGGTGTAGTTTGGTGCTCCAGGCACTGGTTCGCCAGACTCTGTGCGCTGGATTTGCAAGTGACCGACCAGGCCGGCGTATGCGGTGGAGGTGCGGTCGTAGTGAGGACAGGTGTAGCCTGGTCCTCATTCCTGGTGTCGTCAGTGATGGTTTTGGTGTTTGTTGATGTGTTAGGATTGTGTGCCATGTTGATGTGCTTGGTAGACGCCGAAATGGAAGACTAAGAGGCATTAAAGAAGAAGAAGAGGAAAGAGGAGGAGGAGGAGGAGGAGGATGGGAGTGGTGGTTAAGAAGGGCTGTCAGAATCTGTTGACGACATAGAGGACGAGGAAGAGGTGGACGGGGGAAGACGGTTAGTGCAGTCCGAGCGGTGCAGTTGATCGGAAGGTTTCCAACAAGTCCATTTGGCGTCCGGAATGTCCGTTGACACCGTGGACACGCTCGAGGCGGTTATTCGTTAGCATAGCGAGGAGGGCGCAGCTGAGATTTCCGGGCTTCGCGTTTGGCTTTCGTGGCGGCAATGCGGTTGGTTTCGCAGATCACTGCGCCTCTCTTCACTGACCTCCTCTAGGTCGGTCGGTCTCGAAAGAGCTCCTCCAAGTTGGCGGGGTTTATTTGCTGACACTTCAGGGAGGACTTCAGAGCATTCTTGAATCGACGAATTTATCCTCCTTGGCGGCGGTAACCCGTGGCGACACCTCGGTAGAAGAGTCGTTTGGGTAGCCACTCGTCGTCCATCCGCACGAGATGGCCGCTCCAATGCAGCTGCAGTTGACTCAGCATGGCGTAGATGCTGTGGCATCCTGTCAGTGTCTGGGATTCATTTCTGCCATCTCAGCTTATGAATAAGGTTATAGCGAGGATCGACTTGCGCTGCGTATACCGCACTCCCTCCCAGCTCATACACATGAGCACGTCAAAACAGAGTCAAGTAGATTGGCAAAGTTGAGATATCCGGGTTGATTAATTGAAGACGAAGACAGGCTCTCCGGAAGAGGTTTATTTAAGTGCTGACGTTTCAAAGAGCTGGGTCGGCTCTTCATTGTAAAAGCGTAAAATGCACTTAATCGATCAGAAATTTACTTTAAAGTGGCAGTCGTGTTGGCCGGCCTCATGCTGATCGATTTTGCCCTCCTCTCGCTGCCTCGGCTTCTCGGGAGATGGTTGACGGGCGTTTTGCCTGTGTGCTTTGTGAGTCACCACTCCGTCGAGGGGAACTGATTGGACTTTAGTCGGGCGGTTGGTCTGGCGGTTCTTCTTCTTCCTCACCGAGTAGACTCAGCGTCGGGCTATCTCCGTGCGGCCTTCTTAAGTCTGGTGTGGTTGTTTGGTCCTGAGCTTTACGATTGTGATGACGTAGGACTTTGTAAGCTGCAGGAAGGTCCAGATGCCTGTTGATAGAGTGGGCATCGGAGAACCACGCCTCGAGAGTTAGCCGTTCTGTTTTTGTGTTGCCTCGGCCTAAGATGGTAGCCCTCTGGAGGTCAAAAGTATGCCCCGTTTCCCCAACGTGTGTTGCTAGTTGAGAGTTAGGGTCTAACCTCCGAGTGGCCGATTTGTGCTCTTGTAGGCGAGTTTGCAATTTCCGCCCGCTTTCGCCCACATAGTTGCAGTCGCCCTCATTGCAATTTATTTTGTAGATGACTGCTGAGGTTTCAGCGGGTGGCAATGGGTCCTTAGGCTGCATTAGGCGACGTCGAATTGTTGCTTGTGGTCGATGGGCTATGCCTACTGTGGTGGGGTGCAACAGTCGCGAGACCGCTTCAGAGACCCCTTTAACGTAAGGAATGGCCCTCCAGACTTCGGGTTGCTGCTCATTTGGCCGTGGTCTGGGCGCCCAACGTCTGCTTCTCTCGATGAAATGCCTGGGATAACCATTGGCTGCAAATAGGTTCACAAGGTACAATCGTTCGGCCCTTTTATCTTCTGGTGTGCTGCAGTGTGTTTCGACTTTTTGGAATAGAGTGCGGACACAACTACGTTTGTGAGACAGAGGATGGCTGCTGTTGAAGTGTAGGATCTGTCTCGTGTCGGTGGATTTTCGGAATACTGTAGTTTGCAGCTGTCCAGTGGTACACCGGCGCACAAGTACGTCAAGTAAGGGGAGTTGGTTGTTTGTTTCTGCTTCCATCGTAAATTGGAGATCCGGGTCAACCGAGTTCAGTAGTTCTTTTAGGTGTTCAATGTCAGTTGTTTTGACAACTACGAAGGTGTCATCGACATAGCGGGCCCAGAACTTTGGTTGATACTTGGTGAACACCAAATGTTCTACCCGTTGAAGAACTACTTCAGCGATTAGGCCTGATATAGGGGAGCCTATAGGAGTGCCTTTTATTTGTTCGTGCATTTGTCCGCCGAAGGTGAAATAGGTCTTGAGACAGTATCGCAGAATGGCGGCGGGATCGGGTGCAGTGGCTGATGGAGCTAAACAGCTCGGCTGTGCATGACCCACACGCCACATACACGCACGATGAACGAGCTTCTCACACAACCAAGAAAGGGGCTTCTCGGATCCCAACTGAGATGGACTGCCATAAGAAGGGGTAATCGCAGCCTGACTCTCCGTCCTAAGAGGACAACTGGGTTATCATGTCAGATGACAGCCTTCCAAGCCGCGGCATGTAGCACAACATGATAACTTTAAAGCGTGTCGGATTGTTTATAATGAGGAATGTACACTGACTGCCGTGAGGACGCAGCCCCCCAAGAGTCGACCTAAATCAGTATTCCCACTCACAGACACCAGTCCACTGTTCGAACCGGTCAGCCATCGGATGCGAGGATCAGGGGGCAGCGAGTGCTGCAGACGCCATGCAAATCTGCCTCGCCGTAGACTAATTCACACCCAAGTCACCGCTGTTGCGCCCAGTCCCGTGGAGCGCACGGTGGACGTCGTCGATCGCGACGCCCGAACTCCCACTCTAGCGGCCACAGCCACTGGCAGAGAAATTAGCCAAAGGGGAACACATTTCACAACAGATGCATGAGACTGAAATCCTACTTGCAACAGATGGGGGGAGGAAAGGAATAGGGAAGTGGAGGGGGGCGGGGGGAGGAAGGGGTTTAATGTATATTCTGGGTGCCCATCCCCTCCAACGTGTGTGAGTTTGAACACCTCCCAACTCTTGCCACATATCTGGACTCGTAATCTCTTCATAAGCACACACGCTGGCGGAACTGTGCGTCAGCAAACAAGTCCAGACGAGTAGGTCTGTCTGTGTATCCAAGCTGTTTCAATCTGGAGACAAAAATAACACATCACCTTGCTCTCATCTTAGCACGCTTCCTTTGCATATTCAGGCTATTCGTGGTGACTTTGTGGCCTCCTGGACTCACGTGATGTGCTCAGCTTTGCACAACGCAATACAGGCCCCCACCACCTGCTGCTTACTGACGTCAGCAACACCGCCTGCGCAAGTTGCTACGCGATTAGTTAGCCTACTACGTCGAACAGCGCATTGTGATTGACATCAAACGCAGTTTCTGCATTAAGGCACATTCCAGAAAAGCATTAGTCAACACAGCTGCAAATCACAAAAACGACTGCAAGGCATCGTCAGAACCTGTTCTATTTACTTTTGATTGTTCGCGAAGAACTGGCGAAGGTACACGCTACCTCAAACCCGAAAATGTTCTAAAGAATCCATTTACTCCAGGGCAGCCATATAACAAAATCGGCAAATGGGCTGGAAGTCCCCCGGCAACAAAGGTTTCCCGTTTGGAGCTAAATTTACGCAACGAATTTAAAGATGCAAACATGCCTGACTCACGATTCCCAACCATGATCGGTCTGCGACCATACCGATTTCCCCAAATGTGCTCATTACAAATAGAGCACACTTTACCTCACTGCGGACTTGCATGAATACCCAAACTATTCCTCCAAAACGCACGATCTTACTCTCCATGGACCGGTAACAACCAAGGTTCACTGACCTGCAGAATTCCCTTTCTCTGAGGCAAAACATGAGAATTCACAATTAACGCATCCTTTCCATCCGCCAGAAATTCCATAATTTTCCTCATGTTACAGGCAACCGAAACTTACCCGACAGGATTTATGCCCCTCACTGGGGAAGGGTTCCGCAGCGGGTCCTAGAGGACTGTAAACAATCAAAGGACGATCCAACCTAAGCTTCAGCGAAATTCTATTTATTGCACACTAACTGCATCCTTGCAATTAAACGTCGCAAGACGAGACAATACATTCTCTAATTTGAAACGCCTACTGAGAATATATTCCATTTCAGCATACCAGAAGCTCCTCATCTGGACATTTGCCCTCACCAAGTTTCGTTGACCTGTAGAATTCCCTTTCTCAAAGGGAAAACACGTAAATTCCCAAGTAACGCTTCCCTTCCATCCACTAGAAATTCCAAAATTGTTCTCATGCCGCAGGCAACCAAAACTTACCCGACGAGATTTATGCTCATGACAAGCGAAGGCTTCTTCGCCGGCTTCTGGAAGACTCTAAGCAATCAACGGAAAATCTGGCTTAAGTTAAAGCAAGCTTCTGTCAAGTGTAGGACTGTATCTCTGCAATTGATCTTCGACAGATTGGGCGACAGATTCTTAAAGATAAAACTAATGCTGCAAATACCTTCCACTACAGTGTACCAAAATCTCCACATTTGGACGTTTGCCCTCACCACCTACGAGGAGTCAGGCCAAGAATTTGACGATAGGCGATTTTGAAATGAGGAATTTACGATTGCGAGTAAAATAGGGGGGACGTGCGGCAGAATCACTAGTTGAACGCATACTCAGAGAGACCGTCTGTCCAAATAACTCGTCAGTTGAGAATGGACGTATAATGGCTATGCCGACAGCCTTGACGGCAACAAAGTGACTGCCTGGCGGTTCAGGAGTCGCGGACTAATGCACCTCACGCAAGTCTGAAAAGCTTTCCTCAAAAAACGCCGTACATGACACAAATCGCATTATCATTCATTAACACAGAAATGCAGGTAAAAGTATCCTGCATACCTGTATTACCGGACAGAAGGGTCCTTTGATTTGGACCTGGCGCGAAGTGTGCACATCCGCCAATGCCTATGAATCTAATCTCGAGATAACACAGGCACTCTCAGAACGACCGGCAACCACTTAAACGACATTAAAACGACCGACAGGACCATACACAACAACAGCAACCCAACCGACAGTAAAAGTGCAAACGGACCGACTGCAGACGCATGGCTAAGTGGAGAGGAGGTGGATTTGGCGCTCAATCAAAAAACAAGTTCACGCCAATACAGAACCTCACAAACCAACTGTTGCAGAGGACAAAACAGACGGGAAACAACCGTCTACATCAGTTGAGTTTGTCGGAAACTCATACATGTCTGGATACACATGAATCGAAGGCGACGAGGGAGGATTGAAGGGCTATTTCTAGGTTATTGGCTACCGATAACAAACAGTAGCTCGAATCCACAGCTAACTATACATTCATAAATCTAAATGGACGGGTTGCTTCCCAACACAAGACTGGAAAACACCAAGGAGTGCAGTGCATTCGAAACGAAGTTTAAAACATCCAAACACTAGCGAATGTGTCAAAGTCCACCTGGCTCAAGCAGGACGCCAATCGAATATGTTAATAAGCATGTCCATCAGAATCCACGAGGACGAAAATTGCCACGCAAAGCGCACAGCCATAGTTGTTTGTGTGTGCGCCTAGATTTCAGCGCGTCTGCTTGTTCATTTTGAGGCGAAACGAGGTGCTGGATGAGGGACGGACAGGCCCCACCACCTGCACCCTCCCTCCCACACCAGTCCGAGCCAAAACAATTTAAGTTGTCGTTGATTGCTGAGCCTTACGTATCTCGCAGCTGCACCCCATACAGACGCGAGAAAGTATGCTCAAGCCAATGCTAGGCTAAATTGGCTGAACGCACGAATATGGGGTTGGGGTGTGGAAGAAGTGGGTGTGACATGAGAAGTCCAGACATGATCTGCATTGCAAAAAACTTGGACCCAAAACTTTATGCAAATAATTGGTCCGAATGGACGATGAAGGAATGAGTGGCGGTTGCAGACACCCATCCACTCACCCTCCGCTCACTCGAGGCCATCTCCAGACAGTGTGTCGCCGACAGTGGCGGGAGTGTAGTCGTTGCCACGACAACCACCGCCGCCGCCGTCACAAAACCGCGTGTATGACCTTAGGGTCAGAGGCGTGCCATCGCGGTCAGCACCCGCAAATACTCTGAGACACCGCACCAACGTACGTCTCCGACCATGCAAACTAGCATGAGTTCGAATCGGGGCTTCCTGAGATCACCCCCTCTACTCACTGGAATATCTGGCGGCGGAGGCGGGGGACAACCCGATGCTGCGGCAGGTCTCATAATACACAGTGCCAGGAGTCCAAGGTCGACAAGGCGATGCTGGTGCTAGGGGGGGCTTCCCGGGCCTGACGCACGTGGCATAAATTGACCAAAGCACTACCTGACCTACCCATCGTCAAGACAGCCCTTGCAGTTGCGACTCGGCAACACAAACCACGGAAGTCGATCGATAGGTAGACAGATGCGGGATGCGGCCATAACGGCGGCTCTGCGACTCTGCGGGTACCAGCAGGGTTCGTTTGAACCAGTGGGACGGTGCCACTGCTAGGACGACAGCTGTCGGCGATCGGTCACTTCGGAGCAGGCAGACAGAAAGCAGCAGCAGCAGCAACGACGACGACAACAACAACAACAACAACAACCAACGCCGGCGACAGCAGCAGCGACGGAGTGTTTCACGTGACATCGACGAATGCCTCCCAGTTGTCGTCAAACACATTCAGCCCCACGAGGCTTGTAATTGGCATCATTTCCCCCTAAGGCGCGACTTTCGAATCTCAGGAGTCATGTTATAATTCAAGCCTGCTGGAATCATCACTTCGTCTTGTTACTGCACAAGAGTGTGTAGTTTTGATTTAGTCAGGCACATTTTAGAAGGCAGACCGTACCACTGTGTGTTTTGAAAAGAGATTTCACTGCATAAATGCATCGCCTGCATTAGTCTGATATCTGAGAAACTCGACGTAATACAACCCGTGAAAGCATAGCACTGAAGCAGGGTTGTTTTGGAAAATATGATAAAGTAGTTTACTGCGTCAGATTTAGCCTACATGTACAGGACAAGTAGAAATTGCAGCTCTGTTCAGCTAAAGCAAGCCAACAATCATCAAAGCAATTTCTGGAGCTAGTCCGGAAGCTTTAGTTGTCCGCAAGTGCCAGCGTTGGTTCGCGAAATTCTGATGGGTAGATTTCGACCTCTGCGATATTTATTGTCCGGGAAGGCCATTGCAGCTGGATAATGACCTTTTGCACGCAAACCGTTGAGACAAATCATTGCCGGGCCATCGAGGAGTTATTAGAAAATTAAGTTCGTCCTGATCGTCCGTTCAGGAACGCCTTGAATGTATAGAGAAGATCAGTAGCCGAGGAGAGTGGGTCTGACGCCAAATTTCGACAGAATACGAAGCCCAATATTTCATAAGCTGTGACCCTTCGCTAAGCAGGCGGGAGACGGAACCGTGTCTTCACCGAATTGTCAATGCAGTTGTGTGATGGGTCCTTTGCGTGAAAAATCTATGTATAGGTCAGACACCAGTTTCTACGCCGAAATCTGGCGTATACTCCAGAAAAGTCTTGCCATGTCTTCGGCGGAGTATGGTTGACCTGCTTTACTTCGGCGGCGGCGGCGTGTTTCACGTGACAACGACGGATGCCGCCCACTTGTCGCCAAACGCATCAACCCCATGAGGCTTGTAATTGGCATTGTTTCCCCTAAGGAGCGAATTTCGAACCTCAGAAGTCATGTTATAATTCACGCCTGCTGGAATCATCACTTAGTCTTGTTACTGCTCAGGAGTGTGTAGTTTGACTTTAGTCACGCACACTTTAGAAGGTTGGACCGTCCAAATGTGTATGTTGAAAAGAGATTTCACTGCATAAATGCATTGCCTGCATCGGTCTGATGTCTGGAAGACTCGATGTAATACGCCACGTGAAAGGATGGCATTGAGGCAGAGGTGTCTTGAAAAATATGATGAAGCAGTTCAAATCGTCAGACAGCCAAACAAATGCAGGACAGGCAGAGAGAGAGAGAGAGAGAGAGAGAGAGAGCAACTGTCTCCAAATAAACGCACCTTCCTTGGCCGGCTGGATGGTCTCCGCTAACGATTAATGTCACCGAAGTACGGAATTTCTTTACTCAGTGTTTGCATGTAAAACTCTCCGCACCTGCACTGGTACACTGATCTGCAGAGCGCCGATTCCATTTCTGATCGGCTACGTGGCGAAATCTCATTACTTACTGGACTGAAGTTGGACAGAGTTTGACTAGCGATAGTAAATAAGCTGGAGATGGCCATTCCCGTCTACCTTCTCAGTTGGAAACCACGGTCAGAGGTACTGCTTACCTTTTACGAAGCCGAATATTTGCGACTGATGCATGAGCTGTGGTTCAAACGTCTGCAATTCGCCAATAGTCCCAGTTCACTGCTAACTGACTGTTTTCACTATCTGTTAATCCGTTGAAGTTTCAATATCTTGCATTGTCAAGCTGACCACAACATCGGGGTCTGTTTTCTGCTCGATTAAATTGTCATAAGTGCATGCAGGATAGTTGAGCCCCCAGCCATAACTGTCTGCAACTTGTAATAGTCCCTTTTTGTAAATTACAATCTCAGTCTGTTTCTTCGTCCATAATTTTGGAAACCTCCCATTGTGTGATTATTTACCGCACTAATCACACAGGTATTAGCTAAAAGCCCAGACACGCGCGTTTCGCCGATCTTGTGCCACTGCCTGACGCAGCTGCGAGGGGTTCGGCTCGTCAGTGGGTTTCTCAGCTTGCTACAAGATTTACTCCACGTACGCACATCAATTTCCTCGGAAATTAAGTAAGGCAAATTTGAACCAGAAAACATACGGGGAAAGCTGGGGGACCCACTGATGAGCCAAACCCCTCGCAGCTGCGTCAGGCAGCGGCACAAGATCGGTGAAACACGCGAGGCTGGGCTTCTAGCCAATACCCGTGTTATTAGTACTGTAAATAATTATACAATTCTATACCATTGGCCGCCTGTTGGCGGTTTGTGAATTTTACGTGGTTATTTCGCAGTAGCTGGTGGATTTCAACCCAAATATTCCTATCGAATTTCGTACCATGCCTGAAAATGGCTGTTCCGAAAGATGTACTCCGAGTTCGCGCATTAATTTCCTCGGAAATTAAACTCCAGCTGACGATAGTCACTGTCCAAAATCAGTCTGCGTACGGTTTTTCCGAAACTTCGGACTTAGACGACCGCTGTTCCTTTTTGGCATTTTGATGTGTACCCTAATCAACTGGCGCAGGGTACTTCATACAGGAGCCAAAACCATGACTAATTAGGAATTTGACATTTACGCCTGATTTTCTCTCGCAGCCAGCTGGGTACATCAAGTTTCGGCCTCAAGGTGCGGACTAGAGAGGAATTTCGGTGTGACGCAATACACTTTCGGTGGGGCTGGGAAAAGCGGTCCTGCTTGGTCCACAAATTATCACTTTCGTATTATTATTGATTTCAACAGGCGTAGTACTACTTGCGGATATTCTAAATATGAGGTGCTTCGCGGACTTGCGATTATGATTCACAATTACGTTAGGGTTCAAGTTTTACGGACAGGATTTAAGATTAAGGGTTAGGGTTTGGGATTGGGGTTTGCTGCTAGTGTTTTGTGTTAAGGAGTCTTCCGACACCCCAATTACTACAACTTCCGTCTACGGCTTACGTCTGATTGGTCGGATACTTGGGCGGTTCAGTTTCAATGACCTTGACGGGCCAACCCCACTTACTCGTGGAACTGGCCCTACCGATTTCCTGCAGTGAATTTTTGCATTGCCCGGTGCTTACACTGAGCTTAAATATCCACTAAAGCAAACTGGCCTATTTACGTACAATACCTAAGTTTTTCCCTTAGTTGTCGTACATTCTTTGCTGTTTTCCCGCAGCCTCACCCGCAAAGCCCCTTTTACCACAGTTCCCATATTGGACGCGCCTAGGCATCCCCAGTTCCCTACAGGACCGCGTGTCCGGGCCTTGCTGCACTTTCTAATCAATGGGCGGATTCCTTGCGTATAGTCACGGTGGTTTGTAACAGAGGGGGGAAATGCTAGTAATTTGGCCGTCGCAAATTTGTCGTCAGACTACGAAATACGAACTGTCTGAATTGAAGGGCAAGACCTTTGCTCGCCGTCATTCCGACAGTTCTGATCTCGTGTTATCTGTCATGTTTTCGCCTCTACGTCTTCTTAGAAAGTTTAACAGACCACTACTGTGTTTACGATCGGCACTTAAACTTTGGCCTACTTAAGAGCCATACTCTAGCTGTATTGGTGCCATTTTCCGTTTTTAAATATGGCAGACCAGCGCTCACGTGACCGATTTGAACCGCCGAGTGTTCCAATAATCAATTAACTCAGGGCACAGTGTGGACGCGATCGCCTGTCTAACTGCAAATCATTCCCATTTTGATAGTGTGTTCTTATCACCTCCTGGAGGAGGAAACCCGCTAAGTCAGAGAGATGATCGAAAGTCCTTTCTAAAGGTGTAATTGCGAAAGTTTATACCATGAAGTCAGTCAGGCGGACGGAAAGAAACCCAATTTTGCGCAAGAAATTATAACAAACATGGAGAGTCGTTATACACCTTTTTATTACTCCCAATAATATCTAAAGCCGGAGGAGTTCAGTGTTCGGATATGGCTAAAAAATCAGGGTCATAAAAATTCTTTATTTTTGAGCCGGCGAGTACCGCTAATAAGTAAATACTAGGGGTACTGGAAGCTAACGTTGTTACTTTCTTTATAAATGACAAGAAAAGCGTTTACCGGAAAATTTTTTGGTTATTAATCAGTTATCTTATCACAGTCGTTATCAGCCACTGTTTAGCATCACGAAATTAAGCTTCCAATACCCTCTTTTTTAAGAGAAAGTTCCTTTTGATGCAAGGAATTCCGAGAACCCCCTTTTGGCGCCATCGGCACTTCGAAACCTTTTGTCGCCCAGGAAGTGCCGCAAAGATCTGAACAAGTAATAATCAGTTGGCGCACGATCAGATGGGTAGGGTGGACAGGACAAAAAGTGTAACCCTAAATCTCGGATCTTGTTCTGGGTTTTTCGGGTCGAATGCGGTCTCGTGGCGTCATGCAGCAGAATGACCCATTTTCTGTTGATCAGCCTTGGGTGTTTAGGGGCAAGGGTTCGGTTCGAACGTTATACCTGTTGACGACATTGGTCTACTGTTATGGGCTGACCTCGTTCCAGTAGCTCGAAGCAAAGCCTGTCTACCATACTCCGCCGAAGACATGGC